TGTCCTAATATTGTCTAAATTCCTATAAACTTGCCTAACTCTAATAAAACATTCCACTATACGATCCAACAAAGGCTCATCTTAAAGATTGTTCGTGTTGTTAACTCATGCTGTTATCTCTTTTGTAAACTTATAAGCTACAGGAAACCCACTCAGATCTACCTCTCATGGACCAAATAGATGCCATCCAGATAAGTACATCTGCCTAAAGTTCCCACTTACTACCTATTCCAAAGGGTGGGATTCCTCTGGGTTTCAAATGTACATTTAGAAAAATTTCTTTCTCCCAAATGTACTTAATCTTATTCCCTACATCTTGCCAAGTCCAGACACATCCAGAACAGCTCCAGAGAAGCAACCTACAGAAGCTCCATCTCTTGTCACACACACAGCTGCTTCTATTGGACCTGTTCCTTCTGACCTATCCTCAGATGGCTCGCTCCATAGACCCTGGACAGCAGGAAATGGCCAGCTCTCCTAAGACCCTACCCTCCTGGCTCCCCTCCACATGCCCTGAATAAACTCTATTCTATGCTATACCTTCGTCGTGTGGCTGGTCCCTCAGGGGGAAGAGATGCCGAGGCATAGGCCGCTGAGAAATCCCCTTCCATCATTGGTTTCCTTCTATCATATCATAATTTATATCAGCTTCTTACCATCCAAGGTCCAGGGAACTTCAAAGTAGAGGGAGAGAAAAGAATGCCAGAGCTGGCAGACGAGGAGGAGACTGTGACATACTGACTTGTAGACCCCAAAGGGGTGCTGTATACATCAACTCACAGTAATCGTGGCTTCCTGCATAAGGGAAAGTTTTACCCACATTAGAGTGGCTGATGGTAGCTGATGGCTGCTGAAGGAGAGGAGTCACTTACTTATTTGCAATGAGCAGCACTAATTGGACTCAGAGGGTCATTAATGGCAACCTAAATAGAAGGAGAAGGAAAAGGGGGAGGAGGAGGAAGAGGAGGAAGAGGAGGAGGAGGAGGAGGAAGAGGAGGAGGAGGAGGAAGAGGAGGAGGAGGAGGAAGAGGAGGAGGAGGAAGGGGAGGAGGAGGAAGAGGAGGAGGAGGAGGAGGAAGAGGAGGAGGAGGAAGGGGAGGAGGAGGAGGAGGAAGAGGAGGAGGAGAAGGAGAAGAAGAGAATGACATGAAGCTGAGAGGGATGTACATGAGGTGACAGTCCTATGGGGAATTGGAAAAAGTGGTAGATGGATGTGATCAATGTTATTTTTGTAAGATTTATGGAACTTTCAAAGAAAATAAAAGTTCCTGTATAACAAATGAGCCAATTAATCAAATGTCAAGGCAGCTTTCATAACGGAAGAAAATCTTTACCAGCTATATATCCTAACAGAAGATTAATATCTAGAATATGCAAAGAACCAAAAAAACCCCATAAAACAAAAAACAAACAAACCTAAACATCAAAAACCAAACAACCTAATAAAAAATGGGCTGTTGAAGAAAATATTAAAATTTCTAAAGAAGAAATACAGAATATTAATTAATATTTTAATAAAAAGTGTTCAATATCCTCCCCATAAGGGTAATAAAAATTAAAGCTATTTTGAGATTCCATCTCAGATTAAGCAGAATGGCCAACATGAAGAATACAAATGATTGTGAATTCTGGTGAAGACGTGGGCAACAAGGAAGCCATGTCCGAAGTTAGTAGGAATGTAACCTGGCATACTGTGGAGTAGAGGTTCTTCAAAAAACTAACAATAGAATGAATGGCCATATGATCCAGCAGTTCCATTCCTGGTACATACCCAAAGGACTCCACACCCTACTATAGAGAACCTATCCAACTATACTCACCGATGCTCTGTTCACAATAGCTATAAAATGGAGTCACCCTAGATGACCATTAATATAGGAATGAATAATACAAATGTCATACATATACATATTGGGAACTTTATTCAGATATTAAAGGAAAATGAAATTATAAAAATTTCAGGAAAATATGTGGAACTAGAACTTTCTGAGCGAAATCACCAAGACCTAGGAAGGCAAATGCCACATGTTCTCACTTATAGGTAAGATCCTGGCTTCAAATTTTAATTTTTTTATTTTTCATTTTTAAGCTGAAAGGAGCTGATGGTAAGAAATTGTTCAAGTCCATTTATCAAACTAAAAATTTCAGTTATAAAACAATAAGCTCTGGGCGACTAAATATTTCCAAATGTGAAATGTTAAAGAATTAGTTGCTATCCTTATGCTAAAATGAAAACATAAATAAATAAAAAATTAAAAAGGGGGAAAAGATGCTGGGACAAATGGATATGCAGATATAAAAGAACGAGGCTAAATTCCTACTTCTCACACCAACTTAAACTATATCTGGGTGTGATGGCTCATGCCTTTGGTCTCAGCACTAGGAGGGAGGCAGAGTCAGGACAATCTCTGTAAGTTCCAGGTCAGCCTGGTCTATATAGCAAGTTCTAGGCCAGCCAAGACTACAAGTGAGCCTCAGTCTCAATAAAACAAAACAAAACAAAAAAACCTCAAACTATGTCAAGTATATGTAAGAGTTAAATCTATAAAACTTGTGGAAGAAAACATAAACCCTGGGCTGGGGATGTAGCCCAGTGGCAGTGCACTTGCTTAGTATGCATAATGCTCTAGACTTGAACTACTGCAAACAAACAACCATGGGGTCAATACTAATGACCTTGAATCTGAGAACTAATTCTTAGATATGCTACAAAAACCAAAAGAAATGAAAGAAAAAAAATAGGTACATTCTTTTACATCAAAACATAAAAAATCGTATCTCAAAGGATGCTAGGTTATGATATCTTAGCAGCAGAACCTTAACATTCTGTTAGATGAGACACACCAGGTCAGCCATTGTATGCTTTCATTTAGTTGATCCATGGACACAGAAAGCAAATTGGGATTGACTAGGAGATGGGGACAGGAAGAAGTTGGAAAATGGGAGTTGAATACAGCTTTCTCCCCTTCCTTCTGGTGGGCTTCCTCGGGCCTCGAACATGAACTCTACCACTGAGTTACATCAACAGGCTAAGAGTTTCTTTTTAGGTGATGGATATTTTAGAACAATTGATGTGACAGTTGCAGAACACATGCTATGTGAATTTTGTCTTAAAAACAAACAAGCACAAAACAATAAACAAAGGTCTTAGTGTGCCTGAAGGGAGCTACTGATCAAGATCTGGAGACAGGGACTCACACTGAAAGGAGTGAAGCTTGGAAGGCTAGAGGTCACAGTGGGGATGGAACAGAGCCTGAGTGATAGAAAGTCACGTGGCTTTGAGCATAACAAGAAGATGTAAAACAGCACTCGGTCTTTGAACACACAGTTGGTTGTTACAAAGAAGGTAACGGTTCTCAGGGGGTGGGGCGGAGCAGGGAGGAAAGTCATTAGACCACAATCTGTTAGCGGTAGAACCCCTCACACTTTTGACTCAAGAAATTTCAGGACCGTGGTTGCAGAGGTCCTTCAGTGACAGAATGATAGATAGCGTGTTTGAGGCTCTAGTTTGGATTCTTAGCTGCAAAATAAACAAAAGAAGGAAAAAGAGATGGGGGGGGGGGGAGATTTCAGAGCCAGCCCACAGGTTTTTCCTTTATCTATACATGCAGCCCCGGTTCTCCCCTGGGCCTCTGAGCACTTGTCTCTGTTTCCTTCAAACTCGCCCAGAGAATTAGTTCTATTTTTCTCTGGGACCAGTTTCAGTGTGACTAGACTTTAGAACCTTGCTACTCAAGGTGTGGTCCATGGACAGGTAAGAGTAACATCAGCTGGGGCTTCGTTAGAGATGCAGAGTCAGAGCTTCCTCTCTGAGTTGAATGCTAATAAAACCCTCAAGCTGTGTAAAACCCATGCCTTTTGATCTCCTTCTTCTGAGTTAATCCAGTCTTACACTTTCTTTTTTTTTTTTTCTGATAAGCCAATGAGTTTCTTAGGGTTGCTTATAGGAGCATGGGTAAGGGGCTATGTACAGAGGCAAGGACACCTTACAAGTGGCCTCACTACCTAGGAAAATGTCTCTCCCTCCCCAATCAACCTTTAAGCACTTATGGGGCCTGACTGGTGTCTTCCGCCTTCAAGCCAGGATGCTGTGGGCCTAATCTTGCACAGGTAATCACAGCTGCTGTGTGTTGAAGAGGGTAACTGCCATGTCACATGGTGGGTTAGTTTTACCTCCAAGGGAACGAAGGGGGATGGGGTGATTGCATAGTTGGCAAAGTACTTGCCACAAAAGCAGAGCCATCTGAGTTCAGATCCCAGCACCCAAGTAAAAAGCCAAGTGAACTGATGTATTGCTCTAATCTCAGCACTGGGGAGGGAGGAGGTTCCCTGGGGCTCACTGGCCAGTCAGCCCAGCCAAATGAACAAGCTTCAAGTTCATTGAGAGTCCCATCTCAAAAACTAAACACAGAGAAGAAGTCGTGAAAGATATACAGTGGATGCCCACCTCTTGCCTCACACATTTGTAAACACATGGAACAAGTAAGCACTGGACATGCACACAAACGTTTTTCAACATGGTTTATCTTTGAGCTGAGATGTTTAAGTAAAATTAAGATGTGTCTCAACTACCTGAAAACTTGTAGTGAGTGAATTATCTTCTCCTTCCTCTCAGAGGGCATCTCTGTTCTACATACTTGCCCCAGTGGTCTTGTCTTTCCTCAGTCCCTCCGAACTCTTCCCTCCTATGTTTCCATCTCCCTCCCATGTGTCTTTATTAGGACCTTTCCCTATTTAACTTCTCAGATCATTTCAGCTATTCCAGAAAGTTCTTTCTCACCACCCAGTCCAGAGAGGTTCTCCTATTTTTGGTTCCCCTGCTTAGTTCTACCCTGGAACCAGACTCTCCACTTTCCACCCCGGTAACCATAGTTCCGCTCCACTGAGGGGTTTTTGGCCACCTGCATCTGTCTCTGGCAGATGCAGTCAACTGAGTTCTTTTCTTTATACCCATCCCCCACAGCTGTGTGGCAATAAACTGTTACTTAGGTTCTGTTGTCCTCTTCTGTCCACCTCTGCAGATGGGGACTGAGCCTGATATGTCACAGTCTTGCTATAAGAAGAATTCTCAGAGATGCGGAGGAGGGACACTCAGAAATTTTCCAGCTTTATAGAGGTAAAAAAGTGAGGTTAAAAACTCAAGTTGCTGGCTGGGCTCAGGCTGAGGAGTGGCGGCATGGATGGATGGGAGGAAAAGAATCCTAATCTTTTTCTGAATCTTCTATGCATTTCCCAAAATTCTGTCCTCATTCCTCATCCTCCTAGTTTGATGTAGTCTCTATTCTAGCTTTGTGCCTCAGTTTCCACCTGCTTTCAGGAAATCTCCTCTTGGGCATTGTATAGATAATACAAAACAAACAGATACACAAGGAAACTGGCCTTCTTCCTGTGACCGCTCCTCTACCCTGACTCTATCCCTTTGACTGTCCTGCCTACGATGTGACGTTATGTTCTTCCTCCTCTCTCTTTGCTTATTTTTTCAAAATTATTTGTCCTAAGCCAGTGCACACTTTACTTGCTTATAGTTTATCTTCCCTGCCAAGACGTTAATTCTACAAGAAGAGAAATTGTGCTGACTTAGTCCCTGATGTTGTTCCTGACACTCCTACAGTGCCAGACATCCAGTAGTCATTTAATGAATGGTTGACAGATGACTTAATGAATCTTGCTTTCTTTTCATTTCTGTTGTCAGTTGGTCTAGTTAGTTCTGTACCTGCAGTATGTCTTGACTTGTGTGTGTGCATGTGTGTTACTGACAGTTTTAGTCAAGTGATTTGTTTTTATTTTTTATTGTTTTTTTTTCCAGCCTCCTGATGCCGAATAGAATTTTGGCAAGTTATTTAAATCATCTTAGTCTAAGTTCCTTTTAGCTTTTAATAGAATAAATTCACAAGCATGTTATGAGACATCTAAATGTAATGCATGTTTAATAACTAGTCCATTTTCTGGAATAAAATAAATGCTAGCTATTTTTTTTTTTTTCAGTGAAGTCCTTCAGGAATAGGTCTGTGTTAGCAGCCTTTGCTTGATCTCCTCTTCTGGAACATTACATTTCAGTCCAGATGGACACCCTCTGAGTTCTCAAACATATTGTGAGCCTTTCTGCTCTTCATGTAACAGATAGCAGGGAGAAGAAGCAGGCCCAGTCAGTCCCTTCCTAATTGCATTCATTGTAAAAGCATTGCTGGGTTTTCAATATTTGAGTGAAGAGTGAAGCTTGGAAAAATAATGAATCCCCCTGAAGTCACACGGTATCACAATAGTTAAATTGTAGAAGATTCCCCCCCCCCCCCAAACTTATTTTTGTACTACAATATGCTGGCCACAAACAGTCCTGACTTACAAAGACTCATTTTCTATACCCCAGAAAACATCTCCCTTCCTTGGCCCGAGCTGAAGTGTTTGCTTTAAATCAGTCCCACGGCAGTAAAGAGGGAAGCAGCTTGCTAGGACCACGGTGAACTGCCTAAGTCTGAACAGAGAACCTGGCATTCAGCCTGACCGAGATGAGCAAGGCATCCCAAAGAAGGAACTAACTCAGCGACTACATCAGTTTCCACAGACATTTTTACCTGAGCCGAGGCAGAAGACAAGTGGAAACAGCCAAACCATCCTCTGATGGGCCGAATCGGGTGCTGGAGCCCTTGAGACAGCCATTCTCTCTTAAGCTTGTCGCTGAGACTTCCCGTTCCCCTAGTGATGAGAGCTCTTCCTCTATGTTAGCAAACCTTGGGCTATCGGTGATTAACTTCGCACTTTGCTTACAAGAATATCTTGCGTAAGCTAAGACTCTTAGTAGTAGGGAACATTAAGCCCGCACAGGCCATCTCCTGTAACCAGAAAAGACTTCCGGTGGAGGGACTGGGACACCAACCCAGCCACAAAACCATCTACCTATGATTTGTCTTGCCAGCAAGATATGCTAGGGTAAAGGTGGTACAGAAATTGTGGGAGTGGCCAATCAATGACTGGTCCATTTTAAGATCTATGCCACAACGGGGAGCCCATCCCTGACACTGTGTGGAGAGCCATGAAGCAGAGGCTGGATAGCCCAGAGATACAACGGCAAAACAGACAAACAAACAAACAAACAAAAAAAAACAGAACAAAACAAATCTGCAATTCTTGCAGACAGGAGCCTAACCCAGTTGTCATCAGAGAGCAACTGATGGAAACAGATGTACAGATCCACAGCCAAACATCCGGCAGAGTTCAGGCAGAGTTCGGAGAATCTTGCAGACGAGGTGGAGGAAGGATTGTAGGAGCCAGAGGGGTCAAGGACACCTCAAGAAAACACAGCATCAATTAACCTGGGCTCATAGGGTGCTCACAGAGACTGAAGTGACAGTCAGGGACCCTGCACTGTTCTGACCTAGGTGCTCTGCATATACGTTATGGTTTTGTAGCTTGATCTTCTAGTAGGACTCCAAACAGTGGGAGAGGGGCCATCTCTGACTCTTGCTTGCTTTTCGGACTCTTCCTCCTACTGGGTTGCCTAGTCCACATGAGAGGAGACGCCTAGTCTTATTGCGACTTGATATATCTTGTTTGTTTGATATCCCAGAGAGACCTGCCCTTTTCTGAAGTGAAAAGGAAGAGAAGTGGTTGGTGGAGGGGTGCTGGAGGGGGGAGGGGAAAAGCTGGGAGGGGAGGAAGGAGAGAAACTGCTTTCAGGGATATAAATATATGAGAGAAGAATAAATTGAAAAATAAGGGAAATATCTTGAATTTCAACTTAAAAATTTTAGAAAGACTTATATTGTGGCATACCTATGCACTTGAGAGAATGTTCGCTTTGTGCCGTCTTTTGTAATCTCTGTCAGATCTTGCTGGTTTATAATGTTGCTCAGTTTTATTTTCCCCCCACTTCCTGTGGTTCTGACCTCAGAAGATTCAGATGCTGGAGGCTTGGTCTCCAGTGTGTTGATGCACCTTTGGTATAGTGGCACCTTTAAGAAGTGAGTCCTAGTGGGAAGCTATGAGGTCACTGATGATGCTCTGAGAGGGGGCTGTCAGGTACATAAATGCCTTTGAACCACCCCTACGCCTACAGATAACCCCTCATCCATGCACCTGTAAGTAACCCCAATGAACTAATCTGGACATGTGCGGGCTGTTTCTTTGTTTTGTTCTCTGTCCTATCCTAGGTGACTAGAGATACTGGTTCCCAGGGGAAAAAAAAGTCACAATTGGTGCCTGAATTGGGAGAAGCAAAACGAAGTTGAGTTTAAGAGGAGGGGGTCACATGACCCCTGCTATGGGTAAGACACAGGCAATAGTGAATGATCTGACCAAAGGTGGAACATCCATGAGGCAATCCTTTTATGATTACTCTTCTCTGGTGGATATGGGACCTTGTGCCTCCCTGCTGTAGTGGCAGTTGTGTGTCTGATATGAGTAAGACATACAACTGAAGCCGAACATCTTTGAGGGGAAACCCAGGGTGGCTGTCTTCCTCTGTGGTATGGTATATGGTTGCATATCCCCTTTATGAATGTGTCCTGTGATTCAAGTACAGTAATTCCCCCAAGGAGGCTGGTGAACTAGAGAATCTGTTGTAATTTCTGAAAGTGCAATATAGCATGTGACTATAAGCAGGTCACGGAAATAGTTTCTTGGTCTCTGCCATTTGCCTTAAGAGGTGTAACTGAGGCTGAGATTCCTGCCCAGAAGGAATTGCCAGCAGGGAGGAGGAATTACAATAGAATAGACACACAGATGTCTTCTCCATATTACCTTCTGATGTGGCAGGAAATAAAGGAAACGGAGGATAGTGGCTTCTCCTCCCCTCTCCCTCCTCTCCTCCACCCCTCCTCCCTCCTTCTCTCTTTGTTTTAGTTGGTGAAAAGGAGTTCATTAGTTCTCTGCTGGGGAGCCCTTCCTGGAACCCAAAAAGGCCCTGAGAAGAGTCAGACAGGGAGGAGTGAGGAGATGGGGTGAAAATAATAGAAGATAGCCCTCAGGCATGACGTTTAATACATAAGAAGGAAAAAAAGAGATTTAGTACAGAGATAAAAGCCTTAGTAATTTCTCAGCACAGGAATCTATGCTAGTCAGGGGATTTTTTGCCCCTAAACTGCCTCAATTGGGAGAGACTTTTAAATAAGCAACAGAAGAACTCAAAACCTGGCTTGGGAGGCCATGGAACTTGATGGGAGGCCGATAGGATCAGCTTGACATTGTAGAAGGGGAGAAATGGAGCGATCTCGCTGATTTTTCTCACTCTCAGACACAGGCTGCATAGCTTGAGGCAATGTAAGTGAAACAATTCCCAATGAACTGGCTTCTATGAATGAATATCAATGCCTTACTACCATTGGCTGTGATCAATGGCTTCTATGAACAATTAGCGATGCCTTACTATCACTATCTCCATGACTAGAAGGGACTCCAGGGACTAGAAGACAATAAAGGAATGGCAGACATTGTCAAGAGAACTGTGTGTGCAAGACAAGGTGTTTGATGCCCGGGTTAGCAGGTCAGATGGGACTCTGTTCACAGGAGAGATAAAAACATTGACTCAGCAGGCATTCTGGGAGTGGTACAGGGCAAGTTGCTTTTCTGAGTCTGACATTGCATCATGATCTTCACAAAATTTGATACGCAATAATGGGCCTGACTACAAATTGTGTTTAAATTGTGCTAAGGAATTTAGAAAGAGATTAGAAAAGGGGAAATCTGGGCTGGTGAGATGATCCAGTGGGTAACGATGCTTGCTTGATGACCTGAGTCCTGTACCTGGTACCCACATGGTGGAAGGACAGAAATGACTGCTGACCCACACATGCATATAATGTCACAGCATCCATCCACCCCCAAAGAAATAAACAAACAAACAAATAAATGTAATTTTAAAAAAGAGAGAGGAAAGCAGACATAGACAAAAGCCGAGTGACAGTTCACAGAAGGGGTGAAAGGAGGAGTGATTGACAGGTCAGTAAAAGTGGAAAAGTTTGTGCTAGGACTGGTAGTTATTCCCCAGTATCCTGTGTCCCTGCAGGAAAGGGTACTGGGTCTAGAGATTGTTCAGGACAGAGTTCTTTTAGAAATCAAGGGTGGTTATGGAAGTGGTGGCCAAAGAAGCAGTCTCAAACCTGTCTGGTCGAGGCAGCTGGCTCAAGTCATGGGTGTGATGGATGACAGCACTGGCATGTTTTCTCTTGTCCAGGGCAGAGCATCACAGACCAGCCTCATGGAGCTACCAGGGTTGGGTAGATGCGGATGAGGATACTGAATGACATATGGATTATAATGATCATTGATTGTAAAGATCCTAATAAGGTGGTACCACCATCTGTGTAGCTAAATTGCATTTTGAAAAAACAGTTGTCACAAGTGATGGGGTATTTTTCATGCTGTATCACTAATTTTAAAAATATCCCTTTAGACTGAATTCCAAGACCAATTAGCATTTGCTTAGAAGAGACAGCAATGGACCTTCAGAGGCCCTGCCCTCTCTGTATAAAAGGCTTTATTATATAATGGTAAATTTTGTGTGTTTTGCACATTTGGAAAAGTGTCTGGAAGAATAGTAAAAATAGAAGTTAAAAAAATTGAAAGAATGCATCCTGAGTGGGTAGGAAAAGGCACTTCGAGGAACAGAAAGTTGTTGGGTTAAACAAATACAAGTGTCAGGAGTAGATTGCCTCTCAAGCAATTCTTGGCCAGGAAGGTCCGTGAGACCCCACAGAATCTAAGCTGTTGCCATTGCTACATGTCAGATCTAGATGCCAAGATACTACAACTGAAAACACAGTATGCTTTGGTTGCAAGAGGCTAAGAAATCAAATTTCGACTAAGTTGAAAGCTCATTTCTTGTTGGTTGGCTTTTATAGTGCTTGAAGGAATTATGTAGGATTGTGAAGGAGAATCGGGACCAACAATCCTGCTTGGCTACGGATCTTGTGTGGTATACTATTGACATGCCAGTCAGAGTGTGCCATTGGTTCAATAGTGGCATGGCTGTTGTAAGCACAACCAACTGCTTTCTGCTTGGATTTGAGGGCCGCCTCACAGGACAGAAGCTATATTTGGTACTGTAAGCCACGATAAACCTGTGACTGGGAGGTTATAAGATTGAGGGAGGCTACTGTTTTGTTTTGCCTTCTAAATATGTGAATACCCACACATTACTGCAGATTACTTCTTTGTCCTGTAGATAAGTGATTACTACAGAAGTTGATAACCAGTCAAAATACTGAGAATAAGTGAATTTTGCTATGGAACAGTGCCATAGTCTTTAGCCATAAATGGAAGAGAATATTCAGAAATCATTATCACCCCCTTAAGAAACACTGTAGAAGAGAGGAGAGAAAGAATGTAACAGCTGGAGGAAGGGGTGGAGCTGTTTCTGATAAGTTGAAACATTACTGGAGGAAGTGGGGAGTCTCACGAGATTAAGGAAACTCATCAAGATCACATAACTTACAAGGGCTGGGAGGTTCATAAAAACCTGTAAGACTCAGGAAGCTCATCACCATGTTTATAGAAGCAGCAAACAACTGAAGTAGGAAAGGAGGGTTTTCAGTGGAGCTTCCTGCAACTTGTTCAGGGGACTTCAATGATGTAGCTTTCATGAGTTATCAGCCATGTCTGGGTGGGCTTTCCAGTGACACAACCATCTGCCTCTGAGTCATCTATGTTACTGTAAGTAATCTGTCACCTGTGTGAAGTGGAAATGTAAGGGTTCTTTGGAGAGTCAGTTGTGTTGGATGGTGTTGCGTTGGTGCAAACACAAAAGTGTTTTCCAGAGGGCAGACAAAAGTGAAATGACATTTTGCTAAAGCAGACACATGAATGAATGTTTCGTTGAAGCAGACACAGGTAAGAGAATGTTCTGCTAAAGCAAACATATGAATGGGCAGATGATGAAGGATTCTTTGCTAAGGACATGCATGTCTCGGTCTGCCTTACATTCTGTAGTTGAGTTTCATTTGTTGGGACTCTACAGAGAGAAATGCACCAAAAATGTTCTGGTGGTGATATGGCTTCTTGCCACCCAGACTTGGGCTGATTGGCAGAGTGCTGTCAGCTGAGGCAAGACACAGTGAGACAAGACCCGTGGAGGACCCGTGATGTTTAGAAGGAATATAAATAGAATTTAACAGCGACAGAGGCTTGTTTATAGAGCTAGTTGTGCAATGCTTGTGGGTCTCGAATCTTCTCTGATCTTCACTTCACTGAGAAAGGCACAGCCGAGAACTTTTCCTGGCTTCCCCCCCACCCCCCGTCGTCCCTCCTGCTGACTCCTGACAATTTGGCTGAGGCCTAGCTGTCTCTTCTAGGTAGTGCCACTGCTGCTGCTTTGTGTTTGCTATCCTGAATCTACTGAACTGGACTGCTGGTATATCCATGAAGGGTTTGTGAGTGGATTGAGTTGCTGCTGCTAACCTGTGCGATAAACTGAACTAATTTCCAGACAACACAGATGGGGATTGCTCCAAAGAACCATTTCTAAACAGGTCCACTTCCCTAATATCTTTTCTTTTCCACTAGCTCTGGTGGTGGGCTAGAAGGGAGGTTAAAATGTTTAAGAATAATCATTAAAAACGGCTTTGAAAAAAAATTAAAGTTATACCTGTGCACCTGAAAGTAATTCCAAGAATTCAATGTCTCACCAAGATAAACTTGGATGAGGTGGGTTTTTTGTTTTTGTTTTCTTTTTTGTTTTTCTTTTTGTTTTTGTTTATTATCAGTGTACTATCTGGTAGAAGTGGATGTTTTTACACATCTCCCCAAGAAGTGACACTTTCCTGGGATCGTGCATAAGTATACTTACTGAGTTGATCTATTTTAGTGAATATATGTTGTAGCTGGCCTTTGCTACTTAGTGGGTTCTTCTTTTTCCCACTCTATATCCCCCTGGTTTCACCCCCTATCACTAGATCACTAGATAGGAGAAAAAGGATGATAAAGGAGAGAGAGATAGCACAAACACACACACACACACACACACACACACACACACACACACACACACACAGAGAGAGAGAGAGAGAGAGAGAGATGTCTGTGAATCTAATTTCTTTAGTAGTGTTTCTTCTTTGCTTGTAGCTGATCTTTGATACTTTGTGGGTTCTTTTTTTTTCTCACTCTGAATCTAATTTCTTTCTTCTTGTTTCTTCTTTGAACATGACTACTAGCAAACCACAAATGACCAACAATCACCAAACCTGCCTCTTGGTGCCCTAGCATTTATATATCCTCTGAAAAATTCTGCAGCTGGCAAACCACACCTCCACTAGAGCATGAGGCAAATCACAGTCAGATGCTACAAAGCAGCCCTATATCCCCACACTTGGGATTAAAGTGAAGACATGTTCTTATAATAGTTCTGTTTTTTTTTTTTTAACAGAAATCAAAATTCCAGAATTGTTACTCCTGTATGTAGAGCAAAATCAGCCAAGGCAAATAGATACAAGAGCTATGTGCTGACAAGAAGGATCAGCTGGGAAAGGCATTTGCTGTCAGCCTGAGGACTTAAGTTTGATCCCTGGGGGCCCATAGAGTGAAGGGAGAGAACTGACCTCCATGATTTCTAGATGCACTGTGGCATTTGTGTGCCTCTCTTATGTAATAAATAAAATGTAATAAATACAAAAATAAAAGGGGAGAGACAAGGGTCAAAGCCACTTCCTGTTCAGAGTTTCATAATACATTCTCAGGTCCTGAAGGTATTGTGGATATCACAGCATCATTATCTTTGTCTAAAATCTTGGTACCTTAGTTTCTTTCTTTCAAGTGATATTATGGATGACAATTTTCCAGTCCCCTAGTCTCAGATTCTATGTGTTTTGGGTTTCAGGAGGCACAGGGCTTGTACTAAGTGAATGTCTTTGGCTGTTTCAGCTAGTTCATTTGTTTTTTCCTTGGTGGGGGGAGGGACAAATGAAAAGATATGTAGCGTGTAGTTTTTACTACCCCACTTTAAGCTCTGGGTGGACCATGCTACCAGCCACTGTCCTGGAAGGATGAAACACACACACACACACACACACACACACACACACACACACACACACTAGCTTATTTTTAATATGCTTTTTAGCTCAATGCCAATGGCCAGGTACTTCTAAGCCTCCCACAGCTAATGTGCCCTTGCCTTCACACCCAGCTCAACACCTCTGAATCTGCCCTCAACTTAGTTGTCCGTTACTTTCTTCTTGCTCAGCACCATAAATCTGCTCTCAGCTTAGTTGCTAATCTCCCACCTGCTACCCCAGGCCCAGTCAGGGAAGTGGCCAGTGGCCACTCCACCTGAGATCTTACAGGGCTGGTGGCTCTCTCTCCCTCCAAAGCAGGATGACTCTTTTTTTTTTCTCCTGTGTCTCCTAGCCTGCCTGTGGAAACCTAGAAGTCTTGCCTCTTCTTCAGCCATTGGCCACTAGCATCTTTATTGATTCATCAAGAACCAATTGGGGAAGAGGACCTTCAGCGTTCACACGTGGATTCCCAATCAAAGCATCAGAACCACTCCCTACAAAGGTGCATTATAGAACAATATTTATTATGTTTACCTGATAAAATGAAACCTGTAGCCCAATGTCTTAAATACTTACAAAGTAAACTGTATAGATAAGAAAATTTATAAATGTGTAAAATAAAAGATTACACAAGAGAAGACAAGACAAGACAGTGTGTTACTAACTTCTGAGATGGGTTTGGTAGCATTGCTTAATATCCTTAAGCATAATCTTCTTGTTCATAATGAACTAATGTCACAAAAATAATTTTGTGGATTTAATATTTATTAAACCTGGAGAACTGAAAAATTGGGTAAGGTAGGTTCATGACCATAATCAACTCACTGAGTAGTCAGACTATTGAGAAAATATAACTGCTGTATAATCACCACAGGATGTAGCGATTGTTGCCACTATGCACTTAGGTATGAAATGGTGTACAAGTGAAAATACAGTGATATACAAGTAGCCTTGGTTGGAGAATTTTCAAGAGATAACAAAGATACTTAGTCTGACTATGAAGACAGACATGATATGGGCAAAAGTGTGTGTGTGTGTGTGTGTGTGTGTGTGTGGTGTGTACATGTGCGGGCACACATTGCAGGGAGGTTATAGAAATGATTTGATGGTTCATGGATCCATGATAATTCTGTGTGACTGGAACTAGACAGCAGTAAGATTTTACTCTTTTGGGGAGAAAATTCCAGAAAGGAAAGAGGAAATTAAGTTATAGCCTTTTATGTGTGACAGTTCAGGCAGCACATGACAAGGCCAGCAGGCATGCAGAGGAGCTATGCTTGATAATTAGGTAGATTGAAGGGTATGTTTGAGAGGAGCCCCATGGAGGAGTTGGGATTGACAAAATCCAGTAACTGATTAGATATAAAGGGGGAACTGTGGTGGCAGGAAGAAGGAAGGGTAGAGATTTTGCCTGGTTAGTTAAGTGGGTGTTTAGAAAGTGACTCTCAGTTTCTTAACCCATGACATGGGATGATCTATCTCCTTCAGTAAGCAGATGGTGTTGTTGTGTCTCAAGAGCTTTAAGTGGGTTATGTTCAAAAAAGCACAGGGAGTGGCACATGACATGCACTGAATCAAGGTTAGTTTTTATGCTTAATGCACCATTAGCTAGCACAGGGGAAGCAGGAGAGAAAGGTGGGGCAGTTGTGAAAGACTCAGTTCAATTTGGGGCGTAGTAAGTTAGAGGTGATTTGACATCTACAATAAGATCACACTTGGAGATTTAAAAAAATGGAAGGCTGGAGACTGGCGCATGTTTAAGAAATAGTCTTGACAATGACATATAAGAAAAAAGTGTCTCAATTTCTCATTTTCAAAGAGATGACCATGTTTATCGAGTTGACCCACCTATACCCAGAGACTCATCTAAGGCTGTTCAGAATGGAATGGACTATCAGCCAGCAAAAGTTCATTACCATCATGAATTTCTTCATGTATTCATGAAGTAAACCTCTCAAGGTCTGAAGCCTCTTGATAATATTCTGCCCTTTACTTTTGCTATCTTGGGTTAGAGATCAAGACTTCTACTAACTGTTATTTGTCAAAACATCTGAACACTTTAATATGTATTTAATATATTTGAAAAATTTCTAGTAAGCATTTAAGAACTACAGTACAATCCTCCACATTCTTACCTCTTCTGCTTCTCTCATTCTTATGATGTTAATGGTGGGGCTACACACTGTTCCCCTCATTTTGTAAAAGCTTACTAGAACCATTCATGACAATTATCCCTTGTTTGATCTGAAAGTAACTTTTTCCAGCTGCAGCCAGAGCTATACAAGTGTCTTCAGTTTGATGGGCATTGCCAGCAGAGAAGTTGTGCTTTAAAATGGTGTGCAAGTATTCATTTAACAGATGTTTGGTGATGTATCTATTATGCAAAATTGTCAGATGTGTGTTGTGTCTGAGGCCAGGTGTCAGGTGTTGGGGATCCACAGCAGGTACATGGAGGCTGTGTGTGTCAGGGTACAACTGCATACAATCTCACAATCAACTCATGTCTTCCTCACTTCCTGATTTTGCCAACACATTTTTCCCCCTTGTCTTAGTGCAAACTAGAAGAATTAATTTCTACTTTTACAGGGCTGTTGTATTGACAACAATATACATTCATGCAAAATGAGCCCTCTGTGAATTATTACAAAATCCTTGCCTTGCAAGATCTTTCCATTTTATTTTATTTTATTTATTATTTAGATATAACCCCTGTTCTGTCTCTTTGAGGAGACAGGTATAGTAGCCAGTAAGTAGACTGTGTGTGCAGATTACAGAAGGAATAGATGGGGCCCGTAACAAAATAGCCTTAGTTACAAAAACTGAGTTAAAAGGACCCAGGATTTTACTGTTTTCTGGCATATTCTTGTAATCACACCTCACTTAATGGTCACAAAAACCCTGCTAAGATAAGTACTATTAACTATTTCCATTTTACAGATGAGCAACCCAAGGCACAGGAGGTTCAAGTTACTGTCTCTAAGGTCATTAGAAACTGGATTTTAGACTTAGGTACTCCTGTGTTAGAGATCACACTTCTAATCACTCATAGTTTCTTCTGTTTGTTTTTGTTTTCAAAGCTTCATTTATACCCAGTAGAGACTATCATGATTCTTGAGAAAATTATACAAGTCAAGGTATATTCAGGAAAAAGTCAAACAGAAGACTAGGTAAAAAATTTGGAAGGAACTCTAGCTCAATCATTTCTCCTCAGTTTTAGATAAGACTGCTTTCTGTTGACATAGCCCAGACCACATGGACAGTCTTCATGTCAGTAGCCATTTTCAAAGGATGCCTAGCCACTCTCTTCTCTTGTGGGCTGTTTAGTTTATGGAATTACTTTTAGGTTATAAATATCTTAAATAAGTTTAATTTTCCCATTCTTTGGGGAGCATAATTTGCAACTTTTCATTCACTTACTTGATGAAGCCTTGTATTTGTAGCGGTATCTAGCACTTCCACTAGAGGGCACTGTTCTATTGAAAGAATACTTTGATTTTTATGGACCTATTGGTCACAATTTAGTTAATTTAGAAAGACTTAAATAGGAAACTTGTTGCGATTCAGACCCAGGACAAATGGCTGAGGTGCATATTTTGCATATCAAAGTGGACCTGGCCTTCAAGTTCTCCCAGCATCCTCCATTATAGGGCAGGGCTAGCATACTTCACTCTGTGCCCTGAACTTTGCAGCTTAGAGCCTGGGCTTCCCCCACTCAAGAAGCTCTTCCCTTTATAAGCCAGACATTTTAGTCTCTCTTTCTTGCTCTCTCTCCTTCTGAATTTTCTCCCCTCAATCCCCCTTGTGTACACACGTTCTCTCATTCTTTTCCCTTTCACCATGGCAATTTTCCTGGCCTGGTTCCTTGGGATCAGTGAACCTACTTGAGAAAAGCTTCCCAATAAACCTGTCTCTATATACTTTAATTTGGATTGAATTGGATCATTTCACCAGTGGACAGTAACTTATCCAAAATAGTATAACTCTAATTTTTTTATTCCCGGAAGAATCTGAGAACTGAATCCTAAGAAGGGAGTGAATAGCTTTATTTTCATAAACCATAAGGTTTCTAGAAAAGAGTGTAGGCTGGTCCTAAGCCTGAAGGCCAACTCAAGAATTCCTATGCTTAAAAAACCAAAGATGGTTTTGTAGAATGCCTAAAGAACTCTTCCTTCCGGTCGTTTACACTTGGCACTGTGTACCAGAGCTTTAAGGTGGTGGGAATTTGAGTGAGCTCAACAAGGAGAGGAGAGGGGAAGTTGGAGAATGAGGTCTGTCTAGGAGAGATTTCTCAACTCCACTACAGGATGAGGAATGATTCTGAGAGACTGTCCAGAGTCACTCTGACTAGTCTCTATTCTTTTTATTTATTTATTTATTTATTTTTTCTCAAATCGTAATTAATTCACACGGGTTATAAACACAGAAAGGCAGGATGTGGGGGAGGGAACGACACTGGAGTGTGGGTGATCAGGAGGAATACAGATATCATCAGAACCGGGTATCGGCTGGGTGAGGGTTCAGGGGACAGGTCACTGTGACTCTGCCTGTGACTCGCTTGTCCTTCTCTAAGCTGGTATTGTCTGCCCAGGCTACCTAGTTACTAGTCTCCAGTCTTTATGAACAAGTCTCTCTTCTTTTCTGCACACCTATCCAGAGCACTGGCTTTTCATGCTTAGCTCCTCACTTCAGCTGACCTCATGTACAGGCTATGTTCCAAGGAGCAGAAAAGTGTCTGTCTGTTTGTTTTAAAGATAGGAGTCTCACATAGCCAAGGCTAGCTTTGAACTGGTTGTGTAACTGGAGCTGGCCTTGAACCCTCTTGCCTTTGCCTCTTCAGTGCTGCAATTATCGGCATATATCACTACACCTGGCTATAGCTGGCCACTTAGTTGATCTGTTGGAAAGTCGTATTCCCCTCCATTTGGAGGGGGTAAGTGTAAGCTCAGCCCTTACACTAAAGCTATAGCTAATGTTTGCATCTTTATGATTAATGTTTACTGTAACTTGGTTTCCCTATGTCTATTGGTTTCTGTTTCTTTACTTCCAATGTGTGCCTTCTTTTGAGCTGGCTGGTCACTTTGAAGTCTATTCAGTCGCACTTATTACTCTCACATAGTAAGAATTATTGTTACTATGTATTATGTATCAATGTATTATGTTGGGTGGCGGCAAATAAGCTGGAAACTAATAAATAATTGCTTCTTCTGTAAGTTAAATGAAGTGAGTTAAAGTGATAGGAGGACAAACACGTGTTGGGAATTGGTTCTAATCCTTTGTCTTAATTAGGCTTCCAAGAGCTGCACTTCCAGATGCTGAGAATCCCTGCCCCTAGCTGGCTTCAACTGGCAATAAAGAATTGCCATACAGCCAATGGCTGGGCGGGAAGACAGTGGCAGGACTTGTCAGGCAAGGGACAGAGAGAGGGGAGGAAGAAGAGAATCAGAGGGAGAGGGATCAGGTTTAAGAGCTGCTGGATAAAAATCTTAGTTGTAAAGGGAAAGTGGCTCTATTGGGGGGGGGGAATGCCTAGAAGGCAACAGGGCAGCAAAGACAAATATAGATTTAGAAGGTGGTAAGCCAGGAATACCGGAGAGGGATCTGTGCTAGCAATGAGGAGGTTTATAAGTGTCCAGCCATTGAGCT